AGCAGGCATCCAAGCCTCGGTCGGAACGGCAAGGCTGCGGTCAAGACCGTACGCCGGAGGGGCTCCGTACGAACGGACCCCGGCGCCATACGCTGAGTACGCCGGGTACGCACCATACGCGTACGTCTGTGCCGCAGGCGGCTCCGGACGTGGCAGCAGATCCTCGATCCGTCGGATCATGCGAAAGGCCTCGTCCAGATCGGACGAAGAGGCCGGCGATTCACGCGCAGGTGCAGGCTCGCGACCTCTCGCTCCAACAGGTCCAGGCGGACCGCAAGACGAGCGAGCTCGCCCTGATTCCCGCCTGGGCGGCAGCATCACCGCCAGTCCCAAGGCCAAGTGCAATCTCAAGCACGAGGACACGTTGACGGAGGCGGTCAACCTCAGGGCCCTGTGTCGGACCCGCAGTCGGAGCACTCGGACGAGAGTGGCGTTCGGGAGGCGCCGAGTACTCGTACTCGTACGAGGGCACCTCCGCCCCTGCTTGACCGGAATGGAGAAGTCTACTTCCACGTGGAGCGGATCCTCCAGGAGCAACGGCGTTGCGGTAAGCGACAGCTCCTCGTGAAGTGGAGGGGCTATGCCCACTCCGGGAATTCGTGGGAGCCGATTGAACGGCTTCTGATGGACTGCCCCGAAGGCTGTCGCAATCTGGGAACAGAAGCGGCGGCAGCTTCATAACTAGTCCGGGGCTTCTTGCCCGAACGGGGTACGGACGATGAATACATTCCGTACCCGCGCTCATCGTGAGCGCTAGAAGCCGCGCGCTTCAGGATGTCCCTTGGCAGCATTCGCTTGCTGATCAAGTGGGCAAACCTCACACGAAGATCACGCTGGTCCAGGATGCGGGACAGCAGCTGATCTTCATGTAGTCCCCGTAATTCCGTGAGTGAGTACTTAAGAGACTCCACCCATGCCCAGAACATGTCCTCACAAGAACTCCACGTGGGACAATTCTCGGGCATAACCCAGGGGTATCCCCAAAGAGGATAGAGACCACCCCGGGTCTCGGGCTTCTTACGACAAGTCGTGAAGTCCTTAAGAGGGATGTGGTGTGGCGCGAGAAGCACACACCGAGCAGCCTCCAAGTTGTCAACGAGCAACTGTTCTTTCTGAACAATGGCACGCTCGTAGATGCCCCTAGAAATGTGGCCGCCCACAAGGCCACGAGGAGCGACGAGAAGCTCTAAGAAGAGGTCGGCCCCAGAGCTCTCCTCGGGAGGCCAATACCCTCTTAAGTTGATGGCAGCTCCCTGGCTGACGGGTGCCACCACCGAACCCCCACGCACACGCTGGGCAGCTTGGAATATCTTCTGCTGCTGGTCGAGGTCATTCGAGACCTCCCGGGCTCAGCCTCCTCCTCCTCTTCTTCCTCCTTCTTCTCCTCTTCATCCGAGGAGTCGAAGATACTCTGATAGGAGTGTCGAGTCTCCTTCTCCTCGTGGAGTGGAGACTTAGAGGCTGTACGCTTCTTTGAGGGCTTGGCGCCTTCGGCTTTAGAGGCCTTAGCACGCGCAAGACCCTCGGCAAGCGAGAGACGTTTGCGAGAATTTTCTTCCTCATCGCCACCGGCTTTGGGAGTGCCCTTAGCCTTGACGGCCGGACTCTCAGAGCGCACAGACGTCCTGGGACTGTGATCACCTTGATCACTAGCGAGCGACTGCACGCTGTCATCCTTGTGCTCACTGGGCACTGGGCTGTGCCCTCCCACAGAGCCCGCAGGAACATCGTGCGTGCTCTCGGACTCGGCTTCGTCCTCACTGCCACAGTTGAACTCACGTTCCACGAACCGAGGGTTCGGACGATTGTCTGAGGCCGAGGGCGACGGACTGCGGCGCTTGCTTGCTCGCTTGCCCACAGCCGCGTCACCCAAGGAACCGATCGCCTCGGAGGCCACCTGAGTAGCCTCCTTGAGTGCCGAGCCTTTGCCGTGAGGCTTAGTGCTCTTGGCTTGCACCTTACCGGCAGCAGCCTTGGAGCCTGTCTTAGCACCGCTCTTAGCAGTGCCACGAGGCATGATTAACGGTCGAAGTGGAGACCCAGAAGAAGAGCGCACAGACTGCTGCTCGAGGATCTAACTGTAAAGTGAGCCTCCGCCGCGCTCGCGCGGCCAAGTCGATGGTTTTCGACTTTGAGAATGAGAGTTTGTGACGAACACCTCTTCATTCTGATTGGTCGGTAAGCCGAACCTAAGTGGGGGAGGATGTAACGGGGTACGTAGCCCTAAGTGTACCCTGGTTACATGAAGTGTGACACTTCACACTTTAGGAGTATGACACGCCATACTTCGGGATATTTGGTACAAAGTACCAAGGTCGTATAAAGCCAACCATTGGCTAACGACATTGCATTTCTATAGGTGACTTATAGTTTGTATTAAACCCAAACTTTATCTACCTATAAATATACTTAGTTTACATTCTACCTTAATTTGGTCACTTCGCTCTCTTTTAACTAAAGAGGGGACCTGTAAACTGCCGTTCACTGAAAGTTTTTTTAATCTCGGAAGATAACTTCCTCTAGCGCAAGGTGCTGTGTGACCCCGTCACAGTTCTAATACGTTTATTGTTTTATCGAAGGTCACTTTTACGCTGTTCAGCACAAAGCTTGGATGGATAGTAATGTTTGGTCTACGTATCTACGTACCGTAATGCTACCATGCATCGAGGATCCTTCCGTACTTCTCGTCGACAACCTAGAGTGCCACGTATCGAATGAATATAAGGGAATCGTTGCTGGCGAGCTTTTCTCGTATTTGCAGGAATTGGCCTGGTTGCTAGAGGACACAGCAAAAAAACTACTGTGAAAGACAAGAGGATTGATCAAGCGCACAATTGCTGTCTGGGAAAACATCAGTTAAAACACTGTAAGAAGTGCATTTAACAAGGCACTAAGTGTTAATTTTAGAATTAACCCTCACATTAAAAAACTACTAATTTTACACTTATTGCGCAGCTAAATCAACTTGGATTTTATATGTGCACTGTATTTGCCAATCACATTCGGCCTCCCTAAGTATACTTTTCAAATCGACAGGGATTCCGTCCGTTTGTAGCGTTGTATCGTAATAAACACTGGTATCCAAGGTACATACAAAAAACTAGCTTAGATCACTTTTATAGCCTGAGGATACGACCAAAAACGTTTGCATGCTCACTGAAAACAGAGTTTTTATTCTCTGGATATTCATATCCAGAGTTTTAGAGGCGATCGAAAACCGTCGACGATCCTCTATAAAATACTAATGCCGTGCTAAGCCCGATGAAGCTCTGGATATTACGGTATTTTTAAAAAGTAATAACTGGTGCGGAATGAAGGACTTTTTAGAAGAAAAAAAGGAGAAGAATTGCGATTTAATTAAGACTTCCAGTCTAGAAGAAGACATCAACAAAGCGAGCGAGAATGATAGTCATTCATTTGAGTGGCTATCCCCGAATTTCGAAAACTTGAAAACAAGTTGGTACCCTAACTTAAGAAAGTACAGTATTTTAAAGAAGACCTGTAACAATTTTTCCACAGCATTATGGTTTCTTAATCAGCTCGATCCTCAATTGCATGAAGTCTTTGGGTTTCTGCCAGCTAAACACGACTTGGAGTAAAATACTCCAAAAACTCTTTCGTAAGGGGGGCCATGAGATACAACTGCGATAACGTTTTCACTCGAGTGACGGCGACATAGAAAGATGAACGCTGAGGAATCCTGCGAGTCGGATGACGAAGCGGAGCAAGAATCATTTTCTCTACTGCCAGTCCTCCCTTTGAAATACCCGACGTGATAATTCGTTTTCTTCCTCTGATGTGTGTGATGTGTGTGTGTGTGTGAGAGAGAGAGAGCGAGGGGGGCTTACTTACGCGTTACGTCGTAAGGCTTGATGTGTATGAGGATACAACTTAGCCAAAATGAAGAAGCCGCGGTCGAACGTGCGTTGTCGTCCGCTTCTGTG